AGCATGAACATTCTTCGCAACAACCGGTACTTAAAAAGTTAAACATTATTTGTTCTAAGTTATTTAATTATTATTTTAGGGTTGACCAATTTTGACCAGTGTTATAAAAGATCGTTTAAGATGTGATAAGGGATGAGTTTTATATACAATATTCTACTATATCTACATAATTATTAAAATGTTTCTTAAAACATTAAAACTGCAATAATAAAAAAAAAATCGTGTAGAAAATAAAATGAATAGGCTAAAATACTAAATACAATCGATGTAAATACAATGTTCAACAATTTAAATTCCCCTTTTGTTATTACTTATAAGTTTTAAGTTATAAGTTATAAAAACCGTTGTAATAAAATTGTTCTGAATTATTAATAAATCCGAAATGATAGATCCACAAATGCAGTCATAACTTATAATTATAACGATAGAGATTGGTTCGCAGTTTAACTATATAATACCGTTGTGCATATAATATGTAACATAGTAATTTATGACTTTGTATAATAAAGTTAAGTATAGTATATAATATTGTCATGTTGCAGTTGCGTAGATTAATAATATGAGCGGAATTAGAAAGAATTACATTTCCGAAATTGTATAATCAACCAACTAATATTTATTCATGTTTTTACAAATGGACATTTTTATAATCTTGAATAATTTTTGAAAATTCGTGATTCCATCAATAGCGGCTTATGTTAGTTTTCGAATTAATTGAATGAAAAAATTAACAACATTCCCGCCAAATGTATGAAATATATAAATTAAACGTGCAGAGCTGGTAAGCCTGTTTTGCTGTGATAAATCTACTTGGATCGCGAGAAATATTTAAATGTGCGACGCGTATAGAGGCATGCCTAATCGATATTTGTGTCTATAACAATAATAATAATATTATACTAATCACCGAAATGTCGCGATTTGTTGCAGCGTTTTAATTAACGTTTTGCAGGACTACTGCTCGTTTGCACACATGTTATAACAACATTATATACAGCCATACAGGTACCTATACGAAATTATATCACTGAGCTCATGTGTCCTAACTGTAGATGGCCCTAAGAACCAGGAAAGGGCTAGGTTTTTTTTATGAATTTTATTAAAAACATTTATGTATAGTCTGCAAAAAAAGTCTTCATCACTTACCAGTTGATAAATGAAAATGTAATCACTAAATGTTCTAAACATTGTTTTTCACACAGTCGAAAATAGTTTTTCTTCCTATTCCGGGGACTGCGGGAAAAATTCATGTTTGTAGTGTGCAATTTTCAGGTGTGGCCTTTTAAAAATTTTCCCTATCAAAAAAAAAGGGTTCATATCCATATTATATCCGAGCTCGTAACGAGTATTATAGGTTTCGATTGATTGTCGCCGTGTAGATCGGTCGGCGGTGTGGGAAACGCTTATTGTTCGAATGCGACGAACACGAATTCGAAAACACGAAAAACCACATTAAGGAAAATATAAAATTATATACGGCGGCAGCATTATTATTGTGTGTTATTTATCGCAAGATCTGCAGCACACTAGGACACCTGTGACCTTATTACTAGATTATATATGTTATTTATTTTTTTGTTTGGTGCTTTTTTTCAGGGGGTTTTGCATGTGAACATCGGAAGTGGACATTATGTGTATGCGACGCGGGCGAGTGTGCTTTGTGTATCTCTCGCGTATACAAACTAATGTATGTATAGGAGGAACGGACACGCGATTTTCAACAGGAAAGGACATTAAGTTTCCACTAGCACGGAGATTGTTATCGCGACTTCGGCTCGGTCAGTGTGTATATCGTGTATAATAGTAGCCAGTATAATAATAATAATAACAACAAATCATAATGGACACTATATAGGCGATATCATGTGTACGTACTTAAAACGCATGTGTACCTATGTGTGTTTATGTGTGTTTCTATATCGTGCAGACAGAATATTATCGAAATATCATGAATAAAAAATAATAATATATAGGTATTAATAATTTATATACTTACGGTTCAATATGTCATGTCCGGAGCTGTTTTCTGGCGGTGTCGGTGTCACGATGGACGACTTGCTGTATAATATTATAATACTGGTGAAGTATATAATCAAGGAATTACAGTGTAATTGATACACACACACATATTTATATATATAATGCAATATTGAAGTGTAAACTGTATTAAGTGTCCGGCACCGTGTTTGTCTCCGCCGTTAAAGGATTTTTTCATATTATTATTTTTGAAATATAACCTATGATTTTGTAAAATCTTCAATGGGTTTAAAGTATTTATTTTTTTATGAGGCTTGAAAATCTAAGATAGCTATAGGGAATAGGCAATAATAATATTATACATGTCATTGTATTATATTCTGCATACATTTTTTATGAGTTAAATATTATCAAGTATTCAAACTGTAATAAGTAAGTAATACAATTTGGTATTATTTCTTTGTACAAGCACAGTAATACAATTTTAAATTGAAATAAAAATTGTAAAGTATTGTCTCTGATATAGATGACAATTTCTTACTTAAGCCTAAGGGCCGTATTCATAGTCGATGTTTAAGAATAAGTATTGCTTAAGCTATACTTATGGCTCAAATAAAACGAGACTTTGGCTAGAAAAAGGGTTACTTAAATTAAGATTGGTCGAGACCTACCTTAAGCATATCTTTAGTTATAACCACAACTTTTTTATTTTTTAAATTATTAAAATTAACCTAAGCAATATTTATTCTTAAGCATCGACTATGAATACGGCCCTTAGGCTTAGGTAAGAAATTGTCATCTATATCAAAGACAAATTTACGATTTGTATTACAATTTAAAATTGTATTACTGCAGTGCTTGTACAAAGAAATAATACCAAATTGTATTATATCATAATTTTTAGGTAAAGCTATAAAATGTTCACTGCTGAACAGATGACTGATAAGATGAAAATTGTTCATGTAAACATATCAGTATATTGAGTATTTCTGAATTTTGAATATTGACAATAGTTTTAGATAATTTATGTTCAATAAATGGACAATACTGCAGTCGTGATGGTTAAAATTAGGATTTAGAGTTTCTCTAGTAGTTCCATGTACATTAGATACGTAATTGCAGCATAAGTTGGTAAATATATTTTATTATATATTAATTTTTTTGTTACAATGATGAAAAGTTATTTTTGAATAATAAATACTTATACACTTCATTTTGTGGAAAAATACAAAATGTAATAAAGAAAATATTCAAGTGTTGAATCCAGTTGGCCGAGTTATGATTTAAAACATTTTTAATTGTAGTTAATAAATAATTAAAAACAAAAACTGTTTACTTAAATAATGCATGCATTAAATACAACTGAATATTAAATACAATCAGAATATATAAAATATACCTATTTCATTTAAAAGCATATTTAACTTGGTAATTTTTTTTATTGTTTATTGTAAATAAAAAAAAATGATTGAAGGTATTTGCAGTTAAAAAAAATGTTTGAACTACATAGACCATCGTGATTAAAAGTTAAATTTGAACGTTAATTATTTTTATAATAGTGTATGTACGCTCTATCGTATATATTTAGGTTTGTGCACTCGGCCGTGCGGACGTATTAATTAAAAATTGCTGTACAATACTGTTGCCCTGGGCAAATTTTAAAAACGGTGTGCTCGTTTTTTTTGTGTCTGTCCGTCCACGTAAACAGGAATAAAATCTGTCTGATAGGAAAACCGAATAAAATCAATAATACATACTCGAAGGGGGGTGTGGGGGAAAACCCCGGAACACCACCGATCGTGCCTGCAGTCTCGCGCATCACTTACCGGTCACGGTGTGCAGAGTGGTTGATAAAGTTACGAAAAACCATACATAAAATTATATTATCAGGACGTTTTGTTTTACTGTCGTGTAAAGCAATTAATTACTCGGTATATTTTTTGAGTTTCAGAAAAAAATTTTACAGTTACAATTTAAAGTAACTTAAATAACATCACTATATTATCGGAAAAATCTATTTTGTTTAGCTATTTGTCACTAGTTATTTAAAATATTTTAATGATGAAGCGCAACTTACCATATTGTCTATAATGTTTTGGAACAGAATATTTTTCAGAAAATATAGACAGTTTAACTATAATGTATTATTTATAAATAATTATAAGTTATATTGGGTAAGACGTTAATAATATGCTGTACCTATTAATACGTTTAAAGAAGATGAGTTTGCTGTATAGCCTAATTACCGCCCAAACTTCAAACGATTAACTGAAGTAATAATCGTTGTTTGAATATTCACTAATAATAATATGTTTAAATTAAATATACTAATTTCAAGAAAATAAATAAGGGCCGTTAGAAAAAATTAAAAAACTTAAAAATTATAATAGCTGTATTTTAACAAAATATGGTAAATACAGTTTTAATTTATTTTGCGAAAACTGCATAATATTAGAATGTAGTAAATTATTTAAGTGCTTCAAACGACGTAAAAATATATTGTTAACGCGAAAGTTTAGAGAAGAAAAAATCGAAAAATATCACTTAAAAAAAATACACTACAGCATTAGAACACTTTATACTTAATATAGGTAATAGTAATAAACAATAAATGTAGACTCGAGCAATATTATTGTAAGTAACGTAGGTATATACTCCGCGGATGAGGTGCGGCAGCAGACTGCGATATCATAGAATATAATATTATATTATCATGGCTGCGGTCATCTCGATCGGACAATGGCGACCAGGTTATAGGTATATTGGGTACTTGTACGCGATTCGGCATTGGCGGGCGGAGAAGACGACGACTGTGAGAAAATCGTCGAGCCGAGGTGCTGTTGCTGCAGGTTTCTGCAGAAGACAAACAATGATAAAACAACGGCGCTGCAGCAGCAGCAGCAGAAGCCACACAGACGTCGGCGGCAGCGATTTATTGTAATATATTATAATACGGATAAACGATAATAATAATAATAATAATACACAACGACAACAACAATAATAATAATAATAATAACCTGCTACCCGGTCCCATGGGAATTTCCTGCAGGTATAGAGCCGCCTACGCTTGTGCGTCTCTGCGCGCGAGGGGGTGGTTTTTGCACGGCCGAGCTACCGTCTCCGTCGCACGCCGTCCGCTTGCAGGCACCCCGAACGAGCGCTTCCTCTGTCTCTCTCCGTCGCTCGACCGGTTCACCGTCGGCGGCACTTGTTCCCCGGGTGTGACGAGTCCTTCTTCGGGCGAGGTCCTTCGTCCTTCGATTCCTGCATAAAATTAACGTCGCCTTGATGGCACGCTGCTCGCGATCGTCCATCGGTTTCCCACACTTTGTGCACGCACACACCTCGTGTCCCGCGTCCTGTGTGAACACCAAAGGGCATCATAAATCTATTATATTTTAGCAAACGGTTTTTTTCAAAGTCTTTCTGCACACCGCGATCCGGTAGTAATCGCTCCGGCCGAGTGTGTCGTCGCGAGTCAGTCGTCGTCGTCGTCGTGTTATGTGTAGGGCTCGAGCTTTGACCGTAGGAGCATATACTATTACAAACGAAAACGTTTAGATACGCGCTTAACAATGATTTTATTCATTTTTGGATTTTCGAGTTTTTTGTACTTTTTCACGTTTCGGGTCTTATAAATTACAATACTTGATTAGCAAATGGTTTTTTTCAAAGTCTTTCTAGACACCGCGATCCGATAGTAATCTCGCCGGCCGAGTGTGTCGTCGCAAGTCAGACATCGTTGTCGTGTTATGTGTAGGGCTCGAGCTTTGATGCTCTACTCGTAGGATCTTATACTATTGCAAACAAAAATGTTTAGATACGAGCTTGAAAATAATTTACATTATTGGATTTTTGAGTTTTTTGTACTTTTTCACGTTATCAGGTTTATATAAACTACTAGTTTACCTGCAGTTTCTCTATACTCTTCATCATGCGTCGTCTATAAAATCAAGAAACGATTCATTCGTAGGTACGCCTATAGACTACCATAAAATAAATACGGTTTTATGTATGGTTGGTCGTGAAACCATGACATGGAAACAAGATCTAGAAATGTATTTAATTTTAGCTTACGTTAATAATGATACTATCAAATATAATATATTAAAAAATAAAAAATATGTTCTTAATATTAAAAATTCTCCAAATAAAGTGCATAAATAAGAAAAAACCATTTTTGGTATTTTATTCGTAAAATATTTATAAAACTAATTTAAGGTATTACAAAATATACAATAAGCAAAAAGTACAAAAACGTGAAAACACAACAAAGTTCGAGTCTTATTTATTAATAACAACAGCGTCTTTGATTACGATCTTCGTTGCAGACTTCCGAACCAGAGGAAAATTCCTGCAAATATCAATAATTGATGACGGCACGCATAATATTGCAGTTTCAATCATACTAATTTTAGTATGAACTATGAATACACTTGTTTGAATATTGCGCACAATACTTTTTATGGGAAGTTAGTATTGCAAGAAGTGTTCAAATATGTAGGCATGTAAGTATATCTTCATATAATATGTAATTATGTATTATGCACACGACTTTGAATGATAATTTTAGAGTAAGTGATGATTTCGTTTTCTATTAGACAATTGTTTTGGATGTACTGTGTACATTTGTATAGTTTAAAAAAATTACAAAATATAATAACAAGACACTCGTAGGTTATTAGTTTATAGCTGTAATATATATTTACTTTTTAAGTCAAAATAATACCTGGATATAATATATTATAAACAATTAAATATTAATATATAAATAAATGTATAACCGCACTATTTTATGATTTAATAATGATATTTACACCGGTTTAGCCGTCTAGCAGATGAATACAAATTGTAAGCGCACCTATACATGGCCACATTGTACGTTTAATTAGGACTTAAGCAAAGAGAGATAGTAATAATTTAATACTGTAATAGTTATTTTAATTACTAATTATCACAATTTACAGGGGTGCCAGCTATACCTAGACACAAATAATTCAAACACGATGATTGTGTGTTAAATAATTGTTGTATACTTTTAATGTATTATAGTCTATAGCATTATGTAGCATATTATACATAATCATCTTGAATTAAAACATGTAATATAAAGATATTTAGATTTTTAAAAACGTTTTCTTCTAAGATTAAAGATTGTAATATTGTGGTCTTGGAATCAAAAATAAGAATAAATTCAGCGTACCACCCATAACTATACATACTTTATTTAACTACATTTTTAAATAATATACAGATCAAAAAAAAGTTCGATTAAACAGTAATAAGGGCATAAATTATCGAAATTACATTAAAAAGTGAGTTGTTATTATTAATTTGTAAACAAAAATAAAAATGTTTTTCATTATTTCATATTATACGATAACCGATGGTAATAAGCTAATGCTAGGTTTTTGTATACATATTAATATTTAAAATTCTGTGTGTATTATGTTAATAAACAAGTTAGACATTTAATAAAATGTACATTAATTTAATCGAATTTATATATAATTGTTTTAGGTTTATTGTTATATTATGATAATTTAGAACTACAAAAGTAAAATTATAATGGTGCAAATGTTTAATTATCGTAATACAAATGGTCGTATAGTATAAGTTAAAATAATTTTTAATAAAATGACATTAACTGTATCACATTAACAGTCGTTTAAAAATATATAGATAAAATATTATTTCCGCGAGTGTTTCTTCCGAAAAAGTCCAACGGATAAGAAAATTGTAAAAAAAATATCCCAAACCAACTTAACATTAATGGTTGATTATACTTATACCTATTACCTATATAAATATAAAGCACTTACTGTATGTGACATACATACTAGACTAATACGAAAAAACTAAATTTAATAGTAAAATAAATATAGTAAGTACATTTTAATTTATTAAACGATGTATGTGACCTTTTAAATTTATCGCATTCTAATTTCTAATGAAAATAAAATATATAGTTTTTAGTTTTATTATCATACCCCGTTTTTCATTTTGTTATGAAATTATGAACTAAATATTATAAAGTGTTACCGCTGACTATACCTAAACTGAAAAAAACCCATACATGTTTATTTTTAGTGAAATTAAAGAGTTATAAAGATATTTATCTATGCATAAATTATTTATTATATGTTCATTAAATATAATTTTAAAACCACTATAATCGAATTCATATATTGTATACCAAAAATAATATTATAAATGCCAGAATGAGTATTAATAATAAGTCATAATTTATTCTATTAATCGTCGTGCTCAATCGCACATATTATACTAAAATAATATTATATTCGTAATGTTTTAATCAGTTTAATATGTTTCTTTTCAAGTTTTTAAACGGTATTATGATCGCACGTAAGCGCCATCACTGCCATTTGATCTAATAAATTATTTATGACTTAACGTGAATTGAAATCATCGCATTGTCTATTAGGTACAGTGAGGCGTCCAACGACGATAAATAAAACACTAATATTATTATATTGTTGAAGTCTAAAATATAATATAATATACTGTTGAGCTCTTTACGCAAATGGCGAATAGTTTTAAGTTTTTTTAAGTCATTCAACCAATATTATTTCAATTTTGTTAAATTTTTAAATTATATTAAATATTGTGCAACAATAAATTATTATCGATAATAAGAAGGTACTATCTGTAATATTATGTTATGCCACAAACGTCTAAAATGTGTTAAATCTAACATTTAAGTTTATTGTATGACTCTATAAGATGGAAATATATCAAGCACTTAGATATATTTCCATTGAATAGTTCATGAATTATGATAAATACTAAAATAGGTACTTATAATATTGTACCCAATCTTTAGGGAACGATCTATGTAATATTAGGAGTATGCCGTTCCCAATACGACCCTCACAACTAAGACAAGTCTGCGTTATTTTGTGCCGGCGTGATCTGAATATTAATGTCAGGAATTTGTTAGCAATCAGTGGAAATTTTAGAGATTATCTATTAAAAATTCGCAATCGATTCATCGTTGTCTGTAGTCTGTTTGAATACACCAAGGGAAATTATCTCCAAGACCGAGGCTCATTATTTCTATAGCTTTACGCCGGTATGTTATAATAGCTTCTTATTTAATAAGAAAATATTATAACACAAAATCAACAATTAATATAGATAATGTAGGAAATATTTTCATAAGAAGGCACACGTAAAATTAAACGTTATTTATGCTCTTCCGCATAAAACAGAATAACGTAAAACAGTTAACTTAGTGCTGCCTTTTATAACTATGTTTAACTGGTATTATTTTATATATTATATTATAATATCTTAAGGTCGTAAATCACCACCATCACGCCATTTAAAATTCTACTCGGTGGTTGTCGAAAATGAAAACGAAAAACATTCGTTTTATATAAATGGCCTCCGCCGAAATACTTCTGGCTGTATAGGAGGAGGGAGAGTACAATATATACGTTCAATATATACGCGCGGTATCTGTGCATATAATAATAATATATTCTACTCTTCCGTTTATCTGCTCTATACCGGCAGTGTTGTTTTAAATAAATTATATTTTCCGTTTTAAATGAAAAACGCATACACAGTCCGGCGGCGGTGGCGGAATGTATATATATATGTGTGCAGAACGGACAAAAGGACATTAAGATAATGGGAAAAGGGGAGGCGGCGGCAGAGGGACATTATATTATATAGCGTCCGTTGTTTTTTCTACCGCGAATCCCTCCGGTCGGCAATATATACCCTCCCTCCATCTGGCCACGGCCCAGAAAATGGTCAAACAATGACTAATGGCAAAAGCCGTAAATATAATAAATCTAGGTTTTGGCTCGGGAACGGTAATCCCCGGGGCACATATACACACATACACACACATATATATCCAGGGTTCTGGGTTTTAGGGTTTTAGTAAATTTCTACCCACGTCCCCGTGCGATTGCTGTGCAAAACCCCATTTCTGTCACTAAAACAAGATAGGAAAAGGACAGCAACAGACGGGGAATTGCCAAAACACCACCAGCCACCGCACCAACACGACCACCGCTCCCCGCGCGCCAATCACCCGATACTCAAGCATCGGCCGACGGGGTCGTTCGCGTCTAACTCAACAACGTAGTCCTCCTCCTCCTCCTCCTCCTCCTCCGACCACCTCGCGCTCCGCTATCACTTCCCCTCGAACCCTTTATATATATAAATATACACACTAACACACACACACCGATCCCTTCAAAACATTTATACATGTATGGCTCGTTTTCCGTTTTCGCGATAGAACGGGAAATAGACGTGCACATACAAAGGTCCTATA